CAAGAAGGAAATCTAGAGACTAGTTAGTGTCTACAGGAAACCTAGGCATTCGAATCGCTGCTTAGACGTTAAATCCTCCCACCGTATTTCAGTGAAAGCAGGCCTAGTTAAATGCCTAAGTGATAGGAGGCGGGGGAAGCTAACTAGTCGATCGGGAAATCAGCGACAAGAAATTAGACACATCAAGAATATCTTGCAGCATCTCAATAATTACTCACCAAAATTTGTAAATAAATTCATAAGAAATCGAAAGAAAAATATTCACAGTAGTCGTAGTGGTAATACATGTGTTATCAATAATTATTCGACTAGCAATGGTAATAATGGTGATAGGGTTAAGAGAGAATTCAAAGCCTCTGCTGTGTTATGATAGAAAAAATGCACCTCACAAGCATTACGAACAGTTGTCAATAAGGCTGGCCGGGATTAAAGTGGCATTCAAAATAACAAACTCGTTTACAAACAAGCAAGCTTTGTAGGCTAAAACATCCCATCGATGCAATTAAGCAAAATAATCTGGTTTACCAAATCCCTTGTAGTAATGATTGCGAGGTCAAGTACATAGGTGAAAGCAGTTGACCAGGGTCCATTAGAATAACACAGCACAAAAACTTAGGTAAATCAAGATAAGTAGATCCTAATAAGATAAGAAATCTAGAGAGAAACTCGGCTATAGCTGTGCACGCAATTACACACAATGCTACAGTAGGGTGGGATAGAGTGACAGCGTTGAAAACTAATTTACTTGGGTGAAGGAAGAGATTGATAACGAGAACTTCGTTTATTCAATCAACACCAAGTTGATGCAATCGAAATGATTGTGCACCTGTCTCAGATATATGGAATACTCTACTACCCTTGTCATCACAGAGAAGGAGAGAGAATTAGGAATATTATATAAAGTCTGTCTGGAAATTGTCGAGTCACCTGATATGAATATGAAGAATAAATTGTGTCCAAAAGGTTATCCAGTAAATGTTACTGTTTCACTGTGTGATATTTCTAATAAACACACTAACGTGGAGCAACATATAAATTCAATTTAGTTACCATGGTGAAATTCATGAGTCCATGTATGATCAGTTTTAAGAATTCCTGAATGATTTGTTTTTGCCTATACTTTGTGAAACGTTTGGAGTCATGTTGACTGGAGGTTTGTAGAGATTTATTAATTGATTTCGGTCATGTGTTTGATCCCTGCTGGGGTCGTGGGTGCTCACTGCTCAGGATTTGCATACGAAGACGAAACACTTATCCAGTGCTCCCGGTTTTCCAATGCCCTTCCAACTAATGTCACTCCATGATGAAGTCAAACCTAAAATCATATTTACTGTCTCTACTCATATTCATTTTCAGATTGACTAGACATTCATATAGAAATGTTAATGTTAATCAAATCGCTACTCCCGTAGTTGTACTTCCAAAGTCCCCAGTAAATTTAAGCAGTTGATTCTCTTGACAGTGAAATGACTACCAACTACCTTGTAGAAACCAATATCGTTAAGATATTTGTTACTGTGAACCAGTAACACTGGATATTTGTCTCATGAATTAATGCTCATCGATAAATCTCTATTTCTAAACTCTCAATACCAACTTGTCATTGTATTCTAAGCATAGCTCAAACCTGATTTGAATAAATACACCTAGATGGTGAATAAGAAAATACATTAACCTAGAAGCCTACATAAAATTTATTCACATCAATAGTTAGCTACATTTTCATTTGCTTCAAAACCTTTTTTCACTTTTCATCTGTACAATTTCAACACACAAGTCAGTATATACTAATTGAATGACACTAAATGATTATGACTAAAATATTAGGAGTTATTGTAATAATGAGACTTGAACTTCATTCATTCATTCATTCATTCATTCATTCATTCATTCATTCATTCATTCATTCATTCATTCATTCATTCATTCATTCATTCATTCATTCATTCATTCATTCATTCATTCATTCATTCATTCATTCATTCATTCATTCATTCATTCATTCATTCATTCATTCATTCATTCATTCATTCATTCATTCATTCATTCATTCATTCATTCATTCATTCATTCATTCATTCATTCATTCATTCATTCATTCATTCATTCATTCATTCATTCATTCATTCATTCATTCATTCATTCATTCATTCATTCATTCATTCATTCATTCATTCATTCATTCATTCATTCATTCATTCATTCATTCATTCATTCATTCATTCATTCATTCATTCATTCATTCATTCATTCATTCATTCATTCATTCATTCATTCATTCATTCATTCATTCATTCATTCATTCATTCATTCATTCACTCATTCATTCATTCATTCATTCATTCATTCATTCATTCATTCATTCATTCATTCATTCATTCATTCATTCATTCATTCATTCATTCATTCATTCATTCATTCATTCATTCATTCATTCATTCATTCATTCACTTCATTCATTCATTCATTCATTCATTCATTGAGAATTAATTAGCACCCTATAATTATTACTCAAAATCTAATTGACCACAGTTATGTAACCAACACTGGAGTTAATTTATGAAGATAAATGTCATGATGATTAAGAAAGTGTAAACCTGTTGATTTCTGATGTTACGCTTTCTTAACCATGATACTCTTTCGCATAAATTTATGAATAAAACTGTGCGTAATATATATGTATGTGTATATATCATCAACGTCGGTCAACCTAACTCGCTTGGTATCACACGTATATCTTCATTATAAACATTATATTCTGTAGGTTGTAAAGCAGCTGAGAACAATCCAAGAAATACATATGCCTGCTTATCCTGCCTGCTATTCTTCGCCTTCTTCTTCTTCTCCTTCTTGCTTCATTCAAATTTATGGAAAAGAAGAATTTTATAGAGTGTATTAAAGTGATATGGAGAATCATTTTTAAAAGAACAAAAGGCATAGTTTTTATTTGTAGACAACCACATATAATATAAGCCACCTTTGCTTTGTTGTCCATTTAAACAAAGAAGACTATACTAATCTTTTCGGCTTTGACTGACTTTACAGGCTACCCTGGCAACTGTTCAAATGACCAATTGGTCTTTGATATTTCGCCTGGAAAACTACTTTCCTATAAAATAAGGCAATCTAATTGGCTATCTCTCTCTCTCTCTCATCATTTACTAGGCCTTTGAAGTCATTCTAAGTTTTGTTTGCAAGTAAACTTGAATGCAGCAAAATATTTCAGCTATCTTTAAACTAGCTAAGTAGATATACAGTCTATGTAATAATTTAGATGAATTTAGATGCCTGAACAATTAGCAAGTAATGAAAAGAGTACTGTGAAATGAAAAAGTATTTGTTGCAAAGATACTTTACGATGCGTGTTGTTAATGGAATCAGGTAACTGACTACTACTAATTGTACCGGAGCCCATTGACAGACAATCTGATGACAGGTGGTATTTCAAGTGTGAAATTACACGTTTCAAGCATTTTATGTTCCTCATTGTCAATAAGATTGTCTTATTTTTCAAGTGATTTCACTTTGATTGAGTACAATCATGGCGACATATGTAAGAGAAGGGAGGTGGTGTGGTGTGGGGTGGGATGGGATGGGATGGGGTGTAGTGGCATGGACTGAGGAAAGATTGAAACATTTAGCCGCATATATGTGCATGTTGGTCAGGATAATTTCAACAGCTCATATATATCTATAATGCCAATTGACAGGGTCGGGTGAAACTGTGTACCGATTTCGACACATACAATCATGATGATGATGATGATTCGGTTATTTGTTAAGAAGAGACTGCAACACTGAAACAGGTCAACTATCTGTTATTCATTTTTCATAGGGGAGGAGAATAATAGTGTAGTGTAGACTGTGTAGGTTGAATTTTTAATGTGATGCTGATGGGGGTAGGGGTAGGGTGTGAGTGGGAGTGGAAGTTGGAGTGACAGGATGGATGCAGTGGCATGAAAGGAGGGTGTGTGTTATGTGTGTTATGCCAGTGGAAAAGTGGAAATTAGATTGCAATGTGGATCACATCAAATAAATGTCACTGATCGCATTTCATTTCAAAAATAATAATCATTATCATGATTACTTATTTTAACAGACTGCTTGCTACATTGTAACAGGTCAGCTGTCGTCTGTCATCCATCCATTTCATAACGAGATGATTAGTAGTAAACGTGGCTGCAGTAGTAGTAGTGGTAGCTGCGAGAAAGTGAAATTTATAATCTGATAATCGGGGTGTTATGGTTTTGGTTGCAGGGGTGTGTAGGGGTGGGTAGGGGTGGGAATAGGTGTAGGGGGTTGGGTGGGGTGAGGGGTAGAGGTAGGGGTAGGGGTGTAGTGACATGAATGAATTCCTACAAGTAACATTTCAATGGGAAGTCAGTCATTTCTGTGTCAGTGAAATACTATACCTTCAATTGTAACACTAGTTTTCAGTGTCTAATAATGATACATAGACTTTATGTTAAACCCATCACCTTCGTGTTTCCGTAAACGGATTAGACAATCACCTCTATTGTTTTGAATACTACACAAAATTGAAATGAGGAAGGCATGTGATGCTATGAGGTGAACGTGCACATAGCTTATTCATGAAAGAAGTTCACTGTGGATTGAATTACATCCACCGAGAATCGTGTCACTATCGTGAGCACAACTGACTACCTTCCCTGACTGATGCCTTATTCCACCATCCTCATCTTGTGGTGCTACGTGCTACTCTGAATTATTATTAGGACATTTACTGTTCACAGCTTCCCATTAGCAACAACTACTCATCAGGCTATTGAGGCAGTTGGCTTATTCGTCAGAAGAATGAACAGTACTCAAATGACTGTCACCTAGTCAGTCATTCATGCCTCACCTGCTGCTGCTGATGACAACTAATCCGTCTCATCTATTTCTTGCTGATATTCAATGAAACGACATTCCACGTGTGGCGTGTGCATGGGTGTGTGAGTAAATGCATGACTGACGGAGACGGACGTCTGTTGGCTCACTTGAAAGGGTGAATGAGTCGAGAAAATATTTTTGATCGTGTGATTATGTAAGGTGGTAGTAGTAGTGTGAGTAGTAGTGTGAGTAGTAGTAGTAGTAGTAGTAGTAGTAGTAGTAGTAGTAGTAGTAGTAGTAGTAGTAGTAGTAGTAGTAGTAGTAGTAGTAGTAGTAGTAGTAGTAGTAGTAGTAGTAGTAGTAGTAGTAGTAGTAGTAGTAGTAGTAGTAGTAGTAGTAGTAGTAGTAGTAGTAGTAGTAGTAGTAGTAGTAGTAGTAGTAGTAGTAGTAGTAGTAGTAGTAGTAGTAGTAGTAGTAGTAGTAGTAGTAGTAGTAGTAGTAGTAGTAGTAGTAGTAGTAGTAGTAGTAGTAGTAGTAGTAGTAGTAGTAGTAGTAGTAGTAGTAGTAGTAGTAGTAGTAGTAGTAGTAGTAGTAGTAGTAGTAGTAGTAGTAGTAGTAGTAGTAGTAGTAGTAGTAGTAGTAGTAGTAGTAGTAGTAGTAGTAGTAGTAGTAGTAGTAGTAGTAGTAGTAGTAGTAGTAGTAGTAGTAGTAGTAGTAGTAGTAGTAGTAGTAGTAGTAGTAGTAGTAGTAGTAGTAGTAGTAGTAGTAGTAGTAGTAGTAGTAGTAGTAGTAGTAGTAGTAGTAGTAGTAGTAGTAGTAGTAGTAGTAGTAGTAGTAGTAGTAGTAGTAGTAGTAGTAGTAGTAGTAGTAGTAGTAGTAGTAGTAGTAGTAGTAGTAGTAGTAGTAGTAGTAGTAGTAGTAGTAGTAGTAGTAGTAGTAGTAGTAGTAGTAGTAGTAGTAGTAGTAGTAGTAGTAGTAGTAGTAGTAGTAGTAGTAGTAGTAGTAGTAGTAGTAGTAGTAGTAGTAGTAGTAGTAGTAGTAGTAGTAGTAGTAGTAGTAGTAGTAGTAGTAGTAGTAGTAGTAGTAGTAGTAGTAGTAGTAGTAGTAGTAGTAGTAGTAGTAGTAGTAGTAGTAGTAGTAGTAGTAGTAGTAGTAGTAGTAGTAGTAGTAGTAGTAGTAGTAGTAGTAGTAGTAGTAGTAGTAGTAGTAGTAGTAGTAGTAGTAGTAGTAGTAGTAGTAGTAGTAGTAGTAGTAGTAGTAGTAGTAGTAGTAGTAGTAGTAGTAGTAGTAGTAGTAGTAGTAGTAGTAGTAGTAGTAGTAGTAGTAGTAGTAGTAGTAGTAGTAGTAGTAGTAGTAGTAGTAGTAGTAGTAGTAGTAGTAGTAGTAGTAGTAGTAGTAGTAGTAGTAGTAGTAGTAGTAGTAGTAGTAGTAGTAGTAGTAGTAGTAGTAGTAGTAGTAGTAGTAGTAGTAGTAGTAGTAGTAGTAGTAGTAGTAGTAGTAGTAGTAGTAGTAGTAGTAGTAGTAGTAGTAGTAGTAGTAGTAGTAGTAGTAGTAGTAGTAGTAGTAGTAGTAGTAGTAGTAGTAGTAGTAGTAGTAGTAGTAGTAGTAGTAGTAGTAGTAGTAGTAGTAGTAGTAGTAGTAGTAGTAGTAGTAGTAGTAGTAGTAGTAGTAGTAGTAGTAGTAGTAGTAGTAGTAGTAGTAGTAGTAGTAGTAGTAGTAGTAGTAGTAGTAGTAGTAGTAGTAGTAGTAGTAGTAGTAGTAGTAGTAGTAGTAGTAGTAGTAGTAGTAGTAGTAGTAGTAGTAGTAGTAGTAGTAGTAGTAGTAGTAGTAGTAGTAGTAGTAGTAGTAGTAGTAGTAGTAGTAGTAGTAGTAGTAGTAGTAGTAGTAGTAGTAGTAGTAGTAGTAGTAGTAGTAGTAGTAGTAGTAGTAGTAGTAGTAGTAGTAGTAGTAGTGGATTCATGATTTTTCGTCTTATGATGATTAATACTCATTTTATACATGTGCTAACCTGCTACTAATTGTGATGGTGATGATGATGATATGTACAACGTTGTATTATTGAATTATTACTGAGCTATTCTTTTAATCTAGCCAACGAGAGTATTTTTTTCTCTCCTGAAATTCACTTTCAATTGTCAACTTCATAATTTACAGTTGAAATCAGCCTGTCGATGATTACATTAGTTTAACTTAACAATAACACAAGTTAACTGAAGTCTTTACTTCAAATTGCACAGCCTATCGTATACGTTTTGAATGACAGACTACATAGGCAAAATCAATGTAGAACTTCATACAATTGTCTTGGTTCAAGCAACAACACTTCACAGTTGGCTGCAAAGAACAAGTGGATAGGGGAAGACTGATATTAAGATGGAGAAAGATGTATGGGAGTAAAAAAAAAACTTTAAAATAAAGGTTAGTGAAAGCATTCAAGCTTTAGAAAATGTCAAAGAGTGGATACATCTGCGCCTTACTGGTACATTTACAACCATATCACCAAGAGTCCTCAGTCGCTGATTTCTGTTGTTTCTGTAATTCTCAACCAGGCAGTCCACACCTCCGTACATGTTTCACATCAAAAGTCAGAAACTTTGTGCACTGGTGTCACGTCATGATCTGGTCACCATAAACCCTCTCCCAAATATAATCAAACTTCCCCCTGTATTACACCTCAAGGCAAGCGTTGGCTCAGCATGCACAGTTCATGTCCAAGCGACCTCAGTTGATTAAAGTTCACAACCTTATCGATCGACTTATCTGTCTTGTCTAGTACCATTTTGCTTAACCTCTTGATTACACTGTACGCAAAGAATACTACGATGACACATATAATCAAAACTTTGTAATCACTTCTTGTCTCACAGCTTTATAAGAAGATGGAACAGGTTGGTAAATACCAAGCGAATCATCTTTATTCGAGGTGAGATTAAATCTTGCATTGGTAAATCCGGTCCGAAATAAAAGGTGGAGCGAGTTGACGTGACTTAGTAGAGAAGTTTTAAGCTAGCAGTATATATAATTAATGTGAATAAAGTGAAGTGAAACGTTTTAATGTCTCGTTAACACTAAGCCTCAATGAACTGTTATTTCATATCTTATATGTGTCGACCCTCTTTGGAATGTCAATGCTCAGAACTTCCTGGTATTATTGTGTAGTCTTCTCCGGTGGTACTGGCAGTGGATACTGAAGTTATTCAAAAGTGACATTCAGACCTCGTCTAATAACAATAATAATAATCTGAGATTATGGATTCAGTGCGATGTACGTAGCAAATATAAAATAACCCATCTTTTAATAGAAAGAGAGAGAGACAAAGCCAATGTGGAACCCCTCACACAAGTGCATCGCCTCAAGTTGCCACACTTCACTGTAGTACACGAAGAACAGGTGGACACAAAACGAGTCATAAAGTAGTGTGGAAGAATAAACAATCTGAAGATGAAGGTTAGTGAAAATATTCAAGCTTGAGAAAACGCCTAATAGTGTAGTGTGTGTCTGCGCCGTTGTGAACGATTTTCAGCCACGTCCTCAACCAATGATTCCCTTCTTCTCACCGACCCCAACCAGACAGTCTACATCTCCCAACACAGATCAAGCCAACAGTCAGGGACTTCATCCATTCGTGCCACTCTGAACCCTTTTCCTTCCTAATCCAACTTACACTAGCACGACACGTCGAGGTAGGTGGTGGCTCAGCAGGAGCAGCTCACTACATGTCCACGCTATCTTAGTCGACCAAGGTTCACAACCTCGTCAATTTACTTGCTGGCCTGTCTTGCCCAGTAGAAGGTAAATACCTCTGAAGTCAGACGTGCATAGGGTCGTGTCCATCAGCATGTCTATGACAAAGTTAAATAAGAACGGTGACACTGGATATCCATGCCGGACACTACACTACTTGTTCTTGTCAACTCACTTGACAACTCTCATATCCCTAACCTTTAATGACCATGTTTCGCAGTTAATAAGTTAGACAGCGAACCACTGTGTAAAACAATCGACCCTTAGTGTGCGTGCAACCGTACATTTTGCCAGTAATATAGATTAGGAAATTCCGATCAACCCTTTTGCATTCGTCTTGGTATTTCGTCAATCTCCGACAACTCAAGTGAAGTGATCAAATGCGCTGAATCACTTCAGTCCCTATTGTTACATGACGTATTGACACAGATCAGTTCTGAAGTAGTAATTTCGACTAGAATTGTCGGAGAAACATCGCAAATCCACTCAAACCGTTACTCCTGGTGTTCACATAACTCTGCATATTGTCAGCACCTTCACTCATTACAACTACTTCTTTCACCTACACGAATTCAGCTTTTGTTTAGTTAGACTACAAGGAGGAGATCTGCCATCATAAAATCGTCGTCCACAATGAAACAAAACTAAAAAGAGAAAGAGAAAGAAAGTGAACATCCTTGCCAAACAACATTCGATGTAGACAGCTCATATAGGCTATAACAAGACGATGAATAATGCTAGCTAGCTAGGTGTGTGTAGACTTTCCATGGTCACATTCATAATCAATCATTAACAAGTAGGTTAAACTAAATCTACTGTGTTTCATTCACCACAGTAACAGTCATGTAAACCAAGTCTATCCCCATTTGGAAAATGTCAACCACTAGTCATTGTATAGGATCGTGATAAAAATATTTTTTATGTAGTTTGAATTACTAACAAACTATCCCTCCTCTTTTCCTCCTTATATGATCCATTCGTTGTCATTGACAAACAACATTTATGATTTTCATTCATGATATTCACATGGACAGAATCGAAATCCACTCAGCAATCACCTGAATAAGATGAATAATGTAGAAGAAAACTCGGCTATTGCAATGCATGCATTAACACACAAGCACACGATAGGGTGGGTGGTGGGATAAGCCACTGTACTTAAGTCCAATATAACTAGGTGGAGATTGATTACTCAATCTTTCTTCATCGAATCAACACTGAACACATGTAATAGAGATGACGCAACACCTATACCAGAGATATGGAAAATTTTGCTACCAATAACAACAACTCACATAAAGTGACGTAACTATAAAAATCGAATGTCGAAAGTGTTGTGGGATTACATTGATATGATTATGAGCAATGATAATTTATGCTCGTAACGTCATCAAGTAAATAATACTAGATCACTGTGTTATCCTCGTTTTCTTGTTCATCCCTGCAATCCACTGACTGCTTCATCATCGTCTGCTTCACCTTCCTCCTCTCTCTCCTCTATCAGCTTCCATGTGTCTGTCGAGATCCATTCCATTCCATTCCATTCGATTCCTTGTCTTGTTTCCTCTCCCTTCCTAGTACGCTTATGCAGGTTTCTTTCCACATCACTTTCAAAGACTTACAGTGTTCTTCTACACACCATTCCTCACGGATCTTGCTCGATATCTATCTCCCGTTTTGTCTTGATGGCTGACGTGAAGATGTCCTTTGCAGTTTTGTGCTTCACTTTTTGTTCTGGGTGTTCAATGTGAACTGTGGTTTATCACCAACCGCCTTCAAGGCTTTCAACTTGATTTCCAAGCTTCCTTGCACTAGCTGGTGAGTGAGTGATGTGAACCTACCTACATCTGCTCCCCTTCTTGGTCGTGTGTCCAGTAGGCTGCCTGCATCTCCACTTTCTTCAGATTCAAATGAAGTCGATCTTATTTTTAGTGTCCTGTGTCCATCTGGTGAAGTCCATGTCGCTTCGTCAATATCCTTGTGTTTGTACACACTGCCTCCAATCACCAAATAGTAGAATGCCCAGAAATCTGGAAATAGTTCTCCGTTCTCATTCATTTCACCGAGTGCTTCTCGACTCATGATGAGTTCTCTTACTGTGTTTTCTGCTCCCAGTTTGGCATTCATGTCACACATTAGAATGAATTTGATGTCACCAACAGGAGTCTTGTCTAGTACTGATTGCAGTTGTCGATAGAATTCCTCCTTCTTCTCTTCATCTGTATTATTTGTAGTTGCGTAGGATAAAATTAGGGTGGGGTAATATTAAGATGAAACTTCAGCACTGTTATACAATGTAATTCCACTTTAACTGACTTATCACACAGTGTAACAGTATGGTTTACTGGATTGCGTTTCGTACGTAGTTTATTGTCCATAGTCACATCAAGAAAAGTACAAAACTTTGAGACATACCTCATGTAGTCCTAATTTCTTTGCACTCTTTGTGATATGGGCAGTAAAATTTGCTAGGTATCCGGAAGAGGTGCTGAGTCATTCCTGTTGCATGTACTAGGTGTTGACTCGATAAACAGAGATTCATTTGTCAATCTCTCCCTCCACCCTGAGATGTTAGTTTTAAGAATTTTTACCCTGTCCTATCATACAGGTGTAGTTGTGTGTAACTGCATGCATAGCAACGGCCGAGCTTCTTCTAAATTCCTCACCTTACTAAGATCTATCAGTTTCGACGTAGCTAGATATTTCTCCTCAGATAGCCTAACCAACCTTGGTTGACTACTCTGATCTACCTATATGACCTCACAATAAACGTAAGGGATTTGGTTAACTTAATTATCCTCCCTAATTGGATCAATAGGATCTTTCAATCTACAAGGCGTATTTCTATGTGAGTTTATAGGTTTATATGCCACTCTAATCCTAGTCTTATTGCGAACCCTACTTAATGTCTCTGAGGTGCGTTCTTTGCATCGTAATAATGTAAAGGTTTTGAATTCCGTCTTCACAGCATTCCCAGTATTACTATTAACATTATCATTACTACTGTTAACACCTACATTACTCATATTAGCCATATTTTTTTAACGATTACTAACGGATTTCCGAATTAATTAAGAAGGGTAACTGTTGATGAGTAGGGTCCCCTTAATGCATCCGGTTTCTTGTGTGTTTTACTCGAAAGTTTCTTCACCATGTAACTTGGAAATTTTAAACAGCGAACTTCAACTGGTATAGGGTGAAACGATTTGAACTCTAAGTAACGATATAAATGTGAAGGTTTTCTGT